TGGGGATGTGTGTGGCTGGGGGCTCCTGGCTTGCTCTCTGTTCATCGCACAGTTTTCTGAGCTCCCTGTGGCTCTTCCCACATTCTCCTCCAGCTGCTTTTAGTGGAGTCTCTGGTGGCTCGTAAGGGGTTGAGCTCGGAGCCCGGCTTATCTCACAGACCCCGGCTTATCTCACAGACCCCCCCCCAGAACCGGCTGTGCCCCCCGGGAAAGGGCAGGTGGAGATGGGGGAACACAGGGACACCAGAGGGGTCCGGAATTATTGATGCTGGGGGTTTCGGGGGCAAGCATTGACTACAGACCCCATTCTCCCCACTCACCCCTCTCTCTTTCCCAGGTCAAGATCTGGTTCCAGAACAAACGCTCCAAGTACAAGAAGATCATGAAGCAGGGCTCCAGCGCGCCCGACGGGGAGCACCTCCACACCACCACCTCCCTCTCCCCCTGCTCCCCCAACATCCCCCCGCTCTGGGACATGCCCGTGCCGGGCAAAGGGCCCCCCTTGGCCCCCAGCAGCTACATCAACAGCTTCGGGGCCTGGTACCAGCCGCACCCGCAGGACACCATCCCCCGGACCCCCATGATGTGATGCTGCCGCGGCTCTGGCACCCACCGGCTCCGGGAGGGCCAGCAAGGTGGGGGGGGGATGCTCTTCTGCCACCCCCACCGAGGGACCGGGGAGCCCAGCGAAGCCCTGGGGGACCCCAGCGAATGGAGAAGGAGGAGAGGAGGAGGAGGAAAGTGACCACAGTCTACAGGGACATGGGGATCGCCTGCTCCATCGTGGTCTGAAGTGAGACAGCACCAGCACAACGTCCCAGTGGGACAGGACTTGGCCTCCAGACACAGCCCCGGGTCCCACCATTGATGGACATGGCTGGGGGGGGGACCCGAGAGGGGCTGGGAGGGTCCCCAGACCTCCCCAGCCTGGTTTTATTTATAAATACCGTCCGTTATTGTATGTGCCCCCCCCTTCCTTTATAAATAGGCTGTACACTTGTAAAGTAACGACTGCTCCTCCATACCTGCTGTCCTTTTGCCAGGGGGGTCTGTCCCCAATTTGGGGGAGATGCTTCCATCCCAGTCCTCGGAAGCTTCCATCTCCAAAATCTCCTGGGAAAACAGCCCCATAGGGATGGGAGCACTGGAACGGGGGGCTGAGGCCCAAAACATCTGTGCGGGACCCGCCACTGTCTTCAGGCACGCGATTGCTCCCCCGAAATGGAGGCACAATTATAGTAATTGTGGAGCCGGGCCCCTGGGTGAGGGGCTTCTCGCCGCCTCCTCGGGGTAATTACAGGCAATTTGGAGCTGTTGAAGATGTCTCCCTTAATAGGGTCGGGAGAGGGAGGGCGGGGGGACGCAGGGGGCAGGCTGGGGACCCCGGGGCGGGTCAAGCCGGGGGTTACTGCCCCGCTCTCCAGCAGCCCCAACGAATTCCTGGCCCTGGGAGCCAGGATTTTTTTTCTCAGCTGCGGGTTTGGGGGTAACTTCTCTCTTTGTGTTTTTCAACCGGCCAGAACCTGGCAAGAAAATGCATTATCGTTATTTCCCACTTTTCCCAAGCCTGCTCAGTGTTTGTCACCCAGTGTGGGGATGGGACCCACAATTTGCTGGTGCAGGGGGCCCGTGCCGAGGTTTGCTCCGCTGCACAAATGCGCCGTGCCCCTCGCTCCAGATATTCCCACCTTATATTTTCCCCACTCCAAGGGTCACCACCTTTCCTGGAGACCACATTTCCTATCCAGGGAGGGAGCAATGCCACGTGTGCCTCTGTTTGATTTGCACCTTCAGCAGCGCGTGGGGCCAGAGTTTTAGCAAGAACTTGGCTCCCACCTGAAGAGTTGGGTTTTTGAGCAAATGATCAGTAGTGGGGACATGGGCAGGGCTGGAGAGCAGGCACTGAGCGTGGGAACGGTGTGCTCTGGAGCCAGAGGGACGTGGGGAGCCCCAGACACGAGCCCCCACTGTCCTAGTAGTGGTTCTGACCCCTCCGCTGAGAGGTTTGGGGTGCTGGCCGTGACCCTGCTGGAACACAAGCGTGATTGTCCCTGGCTGTGACCCACACTGGCCATGGGCACGTTGCAGTGATGGCGTGGGGAGGACATGGAGCCCACAGGCTGGCTCAGCACCACTGTGGCCGGGACCCACTGCAGCCCAGGGCCAAGACATGGTGTGTGGTGTCCCCTGCATGGGTGGAGGGTGTCCCTGCGTGGGGACGAGTCCAGCAGAAGCAGGGGTCTGTGCAGGGCAAGGCTGGCTTGATTTTCCCTGAGTGATGGAGTCCATCCCCCTCACCAAGGCTTTAGGGATGTGGATGGATTTGTTTTGCACAGACACGGGAGGAAAAGAGAAGTTCTTATCCAGAGACTGGGGAAAACCCAGCTCCTCATGGGTGGGATTTACTCTGGGCAGGGGCTTTGGGATGGAAAGGGTGACTTTCCCCCAGGAATTACTCTCCAGCCACAGAATGGGGCTGAAACGTGGTGTGATCCCTTCTGCAAAGGGCTCTGGGACCACTCGGGGTGCCACTGTCGAGGAGCCAGGTGCCATCCCGGTCCTATACATTTGGGGTGACCCCAGGAGAGCTGGAGGTGGGGCTGGAGGGGGCTTGGTGGCATGGGGTGCTTGGGGATGGTGGGGGGGCGGGAGGCTCCGGTGGGATGGGAGAAGCAGGAGGCAGAGGCTGCGGCTCCCGCTCGGCGTTCCCGACGGATGTGCTGCCAAGGACCTGCAGCCAGAGCCTCTCGCAGGTCCCGTCTTGCAGCGGGAGGGAGGCAGCAGCCCTCGGCTCCCGGGGCCGGCATCCGGCCCGCCCGGCGCTGGCGGTGCCACCGGGACGGCGGCTGGCACCCGGACCTCCTGCTGCAGGGGGGGGGGCACCGCCTCCACCTGGGGCTCCCCCCATCCCCCCACGACTTGCACCCCACCACACACACGGGAGAGCCGCGGCCGACCCCTCCTGCCCCAACACATGGGATTGGATCCCGGTCTAGGCACCCTTGGGTGCAGGGAGATTCCTGCTCCAGCCCCTCTCTGGGGATCCCGGTCCCCTCTGCCACCCTCCTGTGTGCTGGTCCTGCTCGGGATGCTCCTGTGGGATGGGGATGGGGAGAGGGAGGGGGTCCTGTGCCCTGAAGGGGAGGGGGTTTGGGTTGTTTTGCCCCTTCTTCTGCAGCCAAAGTGACCCCGCTTTCCGTTGCGCCCCAGGACAGGGGTGGCATTGCCAGCACGGCATCGCTGAACCTGCTCTTGGCTTTTCTCCACCAGCCAAAAGTGTCCCCAGTTGGAGACACTCAGAAAAGACCAAGAGCCCCCAGACATCCCAGTCTGGTAGCGTTTAACCCACTGGATGGGAGAAATCCCACCGGGGGGGACAGGGATGTCCCTGGGCTTGTTCAGGTCCCTCTTCCCTCGATCAGAGCAGGCTGGAAACCCAACCAGCCCCCTTCAAATTGCCAGGGTGGCTTTGGGCAGCCACGGGGGGGGACTTTGTGTCCCCTTCCCATCCCTAGCCAGGCAGGGGTGACAGGACATGGACCTGGAGAAGGATCAGAGAGGTCCCCAAGGCCACTGTCCTATTTTTCAGCCCTGCCGATGGTGATGGAGCCCCGGCTGGGCAGCGATGCCGTGGTGTCCCGTCCTGGGCTCCTGGTGGCTGCCTGCCGGGTTGGCCAAGAGCTGGGGAGGGGACGAAGCCACGGTGGATGCCAGGCTGGGCCGTGGGCAGGCGGCTGCCCCCGCGCTCCGTGTGTGCTGGCAGCGCCGTGACGCAAGGGGCTGGAAGCGACGTGTTGCAACGGGGCAGGGAGCGTGTGCCGCGCCGGGAGGGCTGCCGGCCGGGGCCTGTGCATGTGAGGCAGAGCCCTGTGGGGGGACGCTGGGCACTGCTGACCCACAGCTTGGACCCACAAGGGGATGGAGACCACACCTGAGCCCTCATCCTGCCTGTAGCCACTGGCAAAATCGCCTCCGTGGAGCTGGTGTCCCCAGTATCCCCATCCCGGTACCGACCGGTGCCACTCTCCGTCCCCAGTGCCAGCAAGGGATAACTGGTATAATGAAGAATGGTCATTTTATTCCTGTGCCAGGGCTGGGCGAGGGATGCTGGGAGGAGTGGGGTGATGGGGTGATGGCTCCACCTCGGGGAGGTCCTACCTCCGCCCCTCAGGCCCCCTTCTGCTTTTGGGAGCACTGGCAGGCAGAGTGGCCTTGGCCTTGGGGAAGGATGTCTGGGTCCCGCAGTCCCTTTTGGGGAGCCCTGGGGGTCTTGGCCACCTCTGGGCTGGAAGAGCTGCAGGTGATACTGGTGGTGAACACCCTCCTCCCAGGGCTGTTGGAGATGGGGCTGAGCGAGGAGGAAGAGGGGGAAGACATCCAAGAGGGACCATGCCTGGCTCTGCCATGGCTCATCGGGCAAGTGTGAGGGGCTCCTGGCACCCACCCCACAGGCTGTGGGTGCTGCGACCCCTGGGAACCCCCAGCCCCACGTGGGCTCTGAGACATGCTCGGTGGTCAGGAGAGAGGAGTGGGACAGGGGGGCTGCATGAGCGCAATGTCTTCCCCGGTGCCCATCCCTGTGGCGTCAGGGCTGGTGGCACAGGCTGCCTGGGTAGCCCAGCTCGCAAGCAGAGCTGCTGGGGGTGGGGGGGGAGCAGGATTAGTGCCTGTCCACAGGCAGTGATGCGCCCAGAATTTATATAATCCACGGATATGTAATCTGCCATCTCGTTATTTTTTTTTTTTTCACTCTCCATCCTCAAAAAAAAATTTAAAAAAGAAAAAAAAAATAACATAAAATAAAATCAAATCACCCCGCGCCAGCTCATGCCGCGCTTCTCACTCCAGGCAACGCCGCTCGGTTTCCTCCTCTCCCAACCCGCCGCCTCCTTGCCCTCGCTGGCAGCCTCCCCCGTAATAACCCCGTGTCTCCAGCGTGTCTGCCCGCCTGCCAGCTGCGGGGCGGCTCTGCTGGCCTCCAACCCCAACCCCAACCCCTGCCGGGGGGGCACAGCGGGGGGGCTGGCAGCACCCCGCAGGTCTTTGCAACCGGCCTGGTCATGCAGGAGCCCTGTGGGGATGGCCGGGGGTCCGGCACAGAGGGGACACGGGATGGAGACCTGGGATGGGGACTTGGGATGGGGACCCAGCCCATGGGGGGATTTGGAGAAAACCCCAAATCCCTGGATTGGCCCCACATGGGCTTGGCTGTGGGAAGGGGGGAGGTGGGGACACCTCTGGGGACCCCAGGATGTGTCCCAGCCGTGCCCAACATGCCAGCACCCCAGGGTGCTGGGGGTGTCCCCTGTTGGCGCAGAGGGACTGTCCCCAGGGCCATCCCACAGGGAGCTGGGTGAGGGGTGGGGGCCTGGGGAGACCCCACCACGGCCATGGGGGATGTGATGGTGGGGACCAGGGCAGGTCCCCTGTCCCCAGAACAGGTCCATGGGGACAGCAGCAGGATTCATCCCCCGACCCTTGGCTGCACTCCCACCCGTGTCACGATGCTGGGGACACCGGGGACAGCAGGGCAGGGGGCCCAGTGTGGTTCGTCCCCAGGGGAATGTCCCTGTCACCGTCACCCACATCTGGGGGGGTCTTCTGAGTCCTCCCAACCCCACAGCACTCATGGGGAAGCCACAGTGGCAGCGAGTGTCTGTCCCACTGAGTGGGTGCCTTGGTGGGAGTCCTGTCCCCCGCCAGTCCTCACCCATGGGGCAGCCCGGCCACCCTCCCAGTTTGCACAGCTGGGAACCAACTGGTTCCCAGTAAGAGGAGTGGGAGAGAGGCAGCAGGTCTCCGTAGTGGTCTGGGGAAGACTTGGCAAACCAGGAATAAAATCTGCCCCCCCCCAAAAAAATTCCCTCTCGGCGGGGAAAAGCGGGACTCAGGGTGAGCCCCGTGCCCACCACCCGGTGCCATCCCCATCCCCGACCGCCCCCCAACTGCCCTCCAAAAACGGGGCACAGGGGAGGAATGCGGCATTTAACTCCGCGTTTCCCAAGCCAGAAACCTCCTGAGCTCCACCGAAAACCTCCCAGAAAAAGTGGTGTTTGGAGCCTTCAAATTCGAAGCGCTTTTATTAACATTTATAGATCAGCTTTGGTTCACTGGGAAAGCAGCAAAGGACGCTCGGAGGAAGCCCCCGTCCTCGGAGGGGGCTCCCATCAACCATGGCTTTTTTTTTTTTTTTTTCCTTTAAAAAAAAAAAAAAAAAAAGCAAAGAAAAAACAGACCGAAACCAGCTTGGTTTGGATCAACTTTATACAAATGAACCTTATGTACACTCTCTTTTTTCCCCCATACACCCCTATTTATATAAGGCAACATAAATAAGATCCTCAGGACTGTACAACACATATGAACACTTCTTAAAACTGCACTTTCTGCTTTTAAAAAAATAGCATCATTCTCTTAAAAAATAGTAAAGAGCTTTTTTTTTCTTTTTTTTTTTGTCTTTAAAATGTGTTGTCGGTTTATTTAAAAAATAGGCGTTCTGCTCCGCCGTTAGCTTAAATGACGCAGATGGAGGCACTGTTAGAAAACAGACATTAGCACAATTTTTCTCTTTAAAAAATAACTTAAGCCATTCCTGAACTGTTTAAATATTAAAATATTTTCTCTCCCCGCACTTTTTATTATTTTTTTCTTTTGTTTTGTTTTAAATAACCACCTTATTGTCTGAGCATCGTCCCGGGTGATTCCCACGAAGCTGCCATGGAAGCGGCCGGGTTGGGGGGTCCCATTTTGCTCCCGTGGGGTGTCCGTGGTCCCCCCCCAAACTGCTCCTGGATTTCGGGTGCCACCAGGGAAAAGCACATCCTGCTCCTCCGGCGTCGGCGACGGGCACCCATCGTCCTCCTCCCCACGGTCTCCATCTGACCGGGCTGCGGGTGCTCCGGGCGCCCCTCGCACCCCTCCTGGGTGCCCAGCCGTGCTTTGGGGGGGTCACAGCATCCCCCCCCACTCCAAGGCAGCTCATTGGGGTGGCCCCAAGAAGCAAAGCTCCGGCAAGGGATCCCCAGCAGATGTGGCTCCTCAGGGGCCGTTTTTATTAGGGGGGGGTGATGGAAAAAAAAAAAAAAAAGAAAAAATAAAATGCATAAGAAGAATTCGCCACCTTTTTCCTCGCCTGCCCTGGGCTGGAAACTAACAAGTTTAACCCTTTGCAGTCCTCTTGTTCCTGAGATGAGCTGGGAGAGGATAGGATATATAAGTGTATATCTAGGGGTGCGTGTACATGGGTGTCCTTTTTTTAAAAAACAAAGAGAAAAAAAAAAAAGAAAAAAAGAAAAAAACCCAAAAAGTAGGGGGAAAAAAAAGGAGGCAAAGGAGTTCTGCCACTGTCTCTCATCCCTTTTTCTTGCTGTTAATAGACGGCCCCGGTGTTGGGGGGAGGCCCCGGGGAGGTGTGATGCATCGTGGTGGCCGGCGGCGGCTGGTGGGGTCCGTGGGGTCCGCTGAGGGTCTGGGGGTGATACCAGGGGTTGTGCTCCTCCAAAAAGCCGGGGGAAGAGCTGTAGGGAAGCGGCTGCGGGAGCGGGGTCCGGCCCGGCGTGCTGCCGTGAGAGTTACTGTCCCAGACGGCCGGGGAGGGGGGAGAGTTACAGGCCATGGAGTCGCTGTTGTTGGGGCTGTGCTCCAGAGGCACCTCGCCGTTCTTGTAGAGCTTCTTGAACTTGGAGCGGCGGTTCTGGAACCAGATCTTCACCTGGAGAGGGAAGGAGGGAGAGGGGTCAGCCCCCCGCCACCAAAAGGGGATGCTCGGGATGAACGGGGAGACCAGGGGGTGCGGGAAGGGGAAGGTGGGATGGGGGCAATGAGGGGGTGATGAGGGGACACAGGGCACGTGGAAAAGGACAAGGGACGTGGGTGTCACAGAGACCCCAGGCACACAATAGAGTGCTGGAAGGAACAAGGGACATGGGTGTCATGGGGATCCCAGGAACATGATACAACATGGGAAGGGACAAAGGACATGGGTGTCACGGGGACCCCAGACGCACAATACAGTGTGGGAAGGGACAGGGGACACGGGTGTCATGGGGACCCCGGACACGTGATGCAACACGGGAAGGGACATGGGTGTTACGGGCAGCCTGGACACACCATACATCATGGGAACCCCCCCTACACATGGTGACACCCTGGGACAGGGGTGTCATGGGGAACCCGGACACACGGTGCATCCCGGGAAGGCACCCGGGATGTGGGTGTCACGGGGAACCTTGGACACACCAAGTGGGAGGGCACCCACGATATGGGTGTCGTGGGGACCCCGGAGACGTGGTGTGTGGTGGGATGACCCCCCCTGCCTTGGGGGACATGGGTGTCACGGGCAGCCCGTCACGCCACGCATCACGGGACGCCGGGCGTCGGGAGCGTCCCCGGTGCTGGGTGAGGCGGCGGCGGCGGCGCTGGACGCCCTTGGCCCCCGGGGAAAGGGGTGGAGGTTTATTGGGGGGGGGAGGCGGCGGTTGTCACCCAAACAGGATGTCCCTCTGGGAGCGGGTGACGCGCTCCGTCAGCCCTTTGCCGACTTGTCCCCGATTGCTTCATCGCCCAAGGGAAGAGGAGGAGGAGGAGGAGGAGGAGGAGGAAGGCCGGGCGCTGGGGAGCGTCGCAGCAAGGGCGGCACAAGGGCGCCGGCCCACGGGAGGGAGGGAGGGCACTGGGATGGGAGGGGGTGCGGGGGTGTCACATGCGTTGAGGTGACAGCGGTGACAACCTGCTCGCCCTCACGCCAACAGACCGGCGGGGATGGGCAAAGTGCCCAAACCCTAAGGTTTAGCCCCAAGTCTGGGTGGCTCGTGGGGAGGAGAAACCCAACGCCCCCCCCTCATCCCGGTTCGTCCTGTCCAGGCTGAAGTGTCACCCCCAGCACAGGGTCCCTGGAGGGCAGGGGGGGATGTGGCTCCTGTCCCAAATTCCCTTCTCCCTGACTGGGACCAAGCGGGATGGGGGAGCCGGAGCACGGGGGAGGAAAGCCAAGGGGAGCCCCAAAAATCTGGGCGGGGGGAGCAGGGTTCGGCCCCCAGGTTCCCGCTCTCTGGCTGGACTCGGGGCCAGGACATGCTTTGGGATGGGGTGTCCCGAGCACCCCATCCTGAGTGCCCTGTCCCGAGAACCCCCTCCCGTCCGGAATTTGCTGTCCCGCATTCCCGGGAAGCCGGGTGCGTCGCCCACCCCGGACCCTGCCACGAACCGGGGCAGGATTCAGCCTCAGACACCCCCCCCTCCCCGGGGCAGTGGGGCAGAGCCAGGTCTGGGATGGGGCTGGCTCCGGAGGGAGGGGGCTACACCCCAAAACCCCAGAGCGGGGCTCGGGGAGGGGGTCTGTCCCCTCTCTCTGCTCCTTCCCTCCCCTCTGCCTTTTCCCTGGCAGCACGGATCTCCTCCGTGCGGGGAAATCTGGCGGCAGGGACCCCTGTGTCCATGAAGCATCTATCCCCGGGGACCCCCAGCTGCCCCCCCCAGCTCTGACCACCCAGCTGCAAACAGACCCCCCTCCCAAACCCCCACCAGTTTGGGTTTTGCCAGGGGGGAGGGGAGGGAAGCTCTGGCTCCGGGTCCTGCCATTCCCTCCTGCTCGTAGTTGGGAATTGGGGTGGCGGGGGGTGGCGAGGAGGAGGCGGAGGGGGGGTTCAGCCCTTACCTGGGTCTGGGTGAGCCCCAGCTGGGCGGCCAGTTCGGCCCGTTCGGGCAGCGCCAGGTACTGGGCTTTCTGGAAGCGGCGTTGCAGAGCCGCCAGTTGGTAACTGGAGTAGATGGTGCGGGGCTTGCGGATCTTCTTGGGTTTCCCGTTGACCATCCGCACCTCCGGCTCCGGCTCCTCCTTCACCGACACTGGGCAGAGAGCGGGGGTGTGAGGTGGGTGACGGTGGGGACCCCAGCAAAGACACCCCCCCCCTCCAGCTTATCCCACAGGACGTCCCCCCCAGTCCTTCAGCGGCGACAACACCCCCTTTGCCACCCCCGTCCTCAACTTGGGGGACACTTAGAGAGGGGACTCCTTCACCAAGCTCCCTCTGCAATCCCAAGGGATCGGCGGGATGGATATGGCCCCTCTCCCTCCCACCCCCCCCTCCTCTGGCATCCTACCTGTTTCTTGTGCTGGGAGCTGCTGGTCCCTGAAGTGACCATACTGGCGGTAGGAAGGGCTGTAGGAATAGTCGGATTTGGGCGAGTAGGTGCCGGCTGCGCCGATGCCGTTGAGGTTGAACTGGTGGTAAGGGTAGTGGTGGCTCACGGGCTGGCTGTAGGACTGGCCCGAGTAGTAGTCATGCTGGCCGGTGTAGTAGCCCAGGTCGGTGACGGAGGACTCGGGTAAGGTGGGAGAGTCCTTGGAGGCGGCATGGCAGCTCAGCGAGCCCGAGAGGTCCGTGAGGATGCTGGAGAGCTTCTTGTCGAAAGAGCCGCTCATCGCTGGAACTGGGGTTTCAGGGGGATTAGGGGAGGGGGGGAGCTGCCCTCCTGGGCTGGGGACCCCCCAACCTGGCTGCTCCGGGTACCCGCGCGGCAGGCCTGGCGTGCCCAGAAGCCGGCTCCTCTGCAGTGACTCTTGCGAGGAGCAACCAAGAGACTGTGCCCAAACCTCCAGCCCCGGCCGCCTGCTTAAAGCCTTTAATTAGGGAGCAGGGCAGGGTGGGTGCGCATTCCGATTGGCTCCAGAAATATTGCCTGGGAGGCAAAACAGGCTCCTGCCTCCTCTCTCTCTCTGGTGTTTTTTTTTTTTTCTCTTTTTTTTTCTCTTTCTTTTTTTTTTTCCTCCCTTCTTTCCCTCTCTCAAGAAACAACAAAGAGTGGGTGAAGGAGGGAGAAGGAATAAATAAAGATCGCAGGCTCCTGGCCGAAGGAGTTGGGGGTGCTTGGGGGGGTAGAATGACAGCTGAAAGGGCCTCTGGGACATCGTGCTATCCTGGGGGGGTCCTGTGGTCCCCTGTGGTCCCCTTCTCCTGGGACTCTTGGTGCTGAGGTGGGATTTGGAGGGGGAGCGGGGTGGGGGCTGTGTTTGGTGAGGGATAGGGGGGAAGAAGGGTTGGAGTTAGGGAGTAGGATGGATCCGGGCTTGGGGCCAGGTGGCTATGGGGGCATGTTTTAGACATCCCCCCCCGGCTCCACCTCCCACCTTCTCCCAGCAGTTACCAGTGTCTCCCAGTTCAACACCATCCCCCAGGCAGAGCACCCCCAGCCTCATGGAGTGGGGGATCCCCACATACCCCAAAACTTGCCATCCTCCACACACCTCATGGGGTTCTGGGGACACCCTCCCTTCCACCATCACCACCCCGGGGGCTCTGTGCCCCTCTGCCACCCCTAATCCTGACTCCCCCGGCTGCCCTAAGAGCCCCCAGCAGCCTGCACCTGGGGAGGTGGTGGGGCTTTGGGGGGAGGGACTTTTATTTTGGTGGGGGGATTTCTGCCCCTCCTGACAAGTCCTTGCCCCCGGAGGGGGCCGGAAGGGAGGAGGGGGAGCGGAGCTTTAATCCTGGCCGGTGCTTTTCCCCTTCCCCCCCCCCGCCTTGAGTCCTCCCCCCCGGGACTGTCCCCTCCGAGCCGCCGGCACCGCAGCGCGGTGCAATGTCGCCACCTGACGGCCGCAGCGGGGATCTGCCGCGCCACCCCCCCTGGGGTGTTTGGTGGGGGGGGGGGGTTGGGGGGGGGGGGGGGGTGGGGGGTGTGTTTGGTGAGGGATAGGGGGGAAGAAGGGTTGGAGTTAGGGAGTAGGATGGATCCGGGCTTGGGGCCAGGTGGCTATGGGGGCATGTTTTAGACATCCCCCCCCGGCTCCACCTCCCAGGGATAGGGATAGGGATAGGGATAGGGATGAAGCTAGGGACAGGGATAAGGGTAGGAGAAATAGAAATCTAAATTGCAAATAGGAATAGAAATAGGAATAAGAGAAACAGAAATAGGTATAGGAAGAAGAATACGAAGAGGAAGAGGAATAGAAATGATAGAAAGGGGAATGGGTAGAACTTGGGATCAGTTCCCGAGGGAAGCAGCCAGGACAAGGCAGATGCGTGACCCCAAAGCCGTGTGCGAAGGCACAGGCTCTCCCCCTGCCTGGGAAATGTAATTTGAGATTTGAGGAATTAATTCAGAGGGGACAGAAACGTCTGGGACGAGCCCAGCCCTGCTGCCTGTCCTGCTCGGGGCTCTGCGGGGCCTCCCTGGGGAGGTTTCCCAAGGTCCCGGAGGAGCCGCTGGGACATCCCCGGGTCCCCGGCCTGGCTGTCCCTCCAGCCGGACTGTCACCAAGGGCTGTTCCTTCCTCCTGGGAGAGGGTTTCTCCAGCAGGAAAAGCCGGTTGGGGAGCTGCGGGCCGGGGAGCAAACAGGGAGCAGGTCTGTGCAGTCCTGAACCAGTTTGGGACTGGGAGGCACTGGTGCCTCCGGCTGCCCGAGGCTCCTCGGCCAGGCTGGCTCCTGCTGAAGCCCCAAAGCTTGGGGGGGTGGGGGTGGGTGCTGGAGGGAGGGGCAATTTGGGTGAACTGGGACAGTTGGGGGGCTGGTGGCACTGGGGCACCTGGGGGTCTCGGTGGGTGGGTGCACGGGGTGGGGGCTGGCAGGGCTGACCACAGCAACACCCCTCCCCCGCGCCATCCCATGTGTCCTCCACCGAGCTGGAGGGGTTGTATGTCCCCCCCCAGATGGTGGGCGCCCCCGGCAGTG